AAATAAACACTAATATTTTTTGCATTTTAATTGCATTATAATCCATATTTCTTTAAATTTTAGGTATTTATTTCTTTAAATTTTAATGTTCAAATGTTGGCTACACTCCATATTTCTTTTGTATTAAAGCATTCCCCTCTGACTGCCCGCCTCAGCCTTACAACCTCCTTAATAACTTTCAAGCTTCGTAACTCGAAAAGTACTAAAAAAATAACTTTATTACAGTGTTTTGTCTCATTCATCTCGACTTTTGACCTCCTTCTACTCAACTGAATTTAGTTTGTACCTCGGTGAAGTTAAGGTCTTTACATACCTATTGCCGAAAACAGAATTTCGAAAAGCCATTTTGGGGAATCTTGAAAACAGATAATAAAAAGAACAGACAAATGGACTATTGGATGAACGAACAGATGAAAGGAAGGAAGGAAGGACGAATGGATGGATAATCAAAATAACGCTGTAAAATTATAAAGTAGTTTGCAACGCTGAAGTATTTAATAAGAAAAAAATTCTCTTTCAAATTACTTGCGATTGAGATTAGGTGTTATACTGCATGAAGATATGCCTAAATAACTTATGCAATATAAGTGCCATATATGTCTCCAGATTGGCAAGCAAGCGTTTATAAATTATATATTACTAGTTTTGCATTTCGCGGTTAATACAACTGGCAGGAATACTCGACTGGACCACTTCACGATTAGGTATTGAAGTTAAAGCTTGTCAGACTTGACTACATTTTCGAGTGCTTGAAGGTCCTCTTTAAATCGTAAACTTTTATTTGCGCACAGTGTATGTTAGTGTAAACTCTGAGCGACCCGTGTTTTCTTACAGATCCACTTGGCCAAATACGCCTAAATAAGAAAGCTGTGTCAAACGCTTACACACCTAGTCAAGAGGATAAAGTAGGACGAATACGGGAGCTAGAAGGATAGCGTTATCAAATAGAGAGTACGTTGGTTACATGTGCTTATAAGGTAAATCTTTTCTATACACATGTTTAATGTTCGCATTTAGAAATCCTTTGCGTTGCCGGGGGGGCGAGGGTCAAAATTTATTCCAAGTGAAGAGCATTTCGCCAGAGTATACACACGAATCATAATCTTCTTCAATATAAAGTAATTTAATCAGTCTCTCTCTCTCTCTCTCTCTCTCTCTCTCTCTCCCTCTCTCTCTCTCTGAATATGGCAACATGCAACTTCTGTAAATATTATGCTCATGGTATTTACCATTGTTGTTCTAATAATTAATTTCTGATTCACATTGAAAAGTAAACATATAATCTAAGTATAAGCATATTCAAGCCTATGACGGTCAAAGCTAAATCTTTTTTGCCTAAATAATTCCCAGTGAATTATCTATATCGTATATATGTACATGCATATATAGTTTTGTAGTTATTCAAACTGAGCGACGAAATTTTTCCGGGCTTTATCTAACGCAATTAAACTACTGCAATAATATCACAAGTTAAATTAAATTGACAATGTGCTGAAAACCTTAAATAAATTTATTGAATTATCTCGGCCGGGACTTGAACCCGGATCTCTTGTGCCCTTACGAGCGTCCTAAGCCATTAGACCACTGAGGCGTTAGATAAAGCCCGGAAAAATTGGCGCGCAATTTGAATAACTAAAAAAATATGATATACTTGCATGTACATATATAGGATATAGATAATTCACTGGGAATTATTTAGGCAAAAAAGATCTAGCTTTGACCGTCATAGGCCCGAATATGCTTATACTTAGTATTTTAATTTCCTGTCGGTCCGAATAAAATCTTAATATTGTTTATTTATTCAATGTAGAAGAAATCGACACTTTTTGAGAGACGGAGAAAATAATATATATATAAAATTACACTTACGTCCAATTTCAAAAAATAAATTACAAATCCAGGATTACTTCAACTATCGTATATTTCTCAGTAATTTAATTTAACGCAAGGTTTACTTTAATAATGAAGCGATTTGTTCAATGAATTAGTAAAAAATACAATTGCGCAAAGAGGAAAACCTCAAATATCCTTTCTACGTTTTAACTCTTAGCTAATGTTTCTTTTAAATTTTTTTCGAGAAATCTCACGTTTGCTTAAACAGCCGAAGCCAATGATCCGAAGGTTTTGCTCGCTCCCTGCCCTTCCCCCTTTCTCAGGATACAGCGAAGGCCAAGAAAAAGCCGATGGAGCTGGCATTACACAAGGTGCGCATAAAGTCTCATGAATTATCGCGTGGCTCGGCGCGCTCGGCGAGCGCGGCGGACTTACGTGTTCGGAGAAGCAATGCTCCTGGTATGGCCGCGGGATGGCTAGAACTGCCGATCCAACCTATACTTACCGTCACTGAGATAATCTAGCCCTAGCCTAACCCACCGTAATCCGAACAGCGAAGGGGAAGCCGCGAACTCTCGTGTTGAGACTCGCCAGGGTTCACCTTCCTATCCACCCGGCGAAACGTGTTTTGTCTTCAATTCGATATACCGTTCTCGACTTGGCTTTCGAGCACTTTCGACGCAAGTGGTAGCTTAGTTCAGCTTGTTGAGCGAAATTTAAACAACTCTATTTATTGTAGACTGTAGTATATATGTATGTTTATAACAACTTTTGTATTTGCTTCTTTAATATTTAAAAGAGAGTGATAAGAGCGAAAGAAGTACAATGATTGCCAAAACTTTCCGGCCATGTAATCTTACAATAATTTCTGCCAATCTGTTTTTCAGTTTATAAATTAATCAAATTCTTGTTATATTTAATTTAGAAACATAATATATATTTTATATATTAGAATATATTATGAAAGTACAATATAGGTCTTTATTTGCATAGATTTTTTTATCGATCAATACAATAAAATTATTCATTGATCGGAAACTTTCGGCAGTTACTTAAATAAATTTTCGTAACTAATAAAAAAAGTATTTAATGTATATTTATTCTCTATTAGAATTTTAGAACCTATGTAGTAAAAAAATATACGTAACATAAGCATTCAATCAAAATAAGACACACATATTCCAAATTAAAACAATATTTATATTAATGAACAATTTTTCAATTAAACCGTTAACGAGGATTAAATTAAGACTCTTCGGCTTCTAAATTATTATCAATAATATATAGATAATATTCTATCGGCTCGAATTCACGGACGTCCTGTACAAACCTGATAATGGACTGGGTCCGTGGGTGGTGTGGTATCCCATGGATGAGGACGCTTCGACCAATGAGATTGGGACGTGGGTGGTTGCGGTGGTGTGAGTTTTCTTCGTCGGCCGTGGGTTTGCGTGGGCTGCACGGTCCGCGGGATGCAGCATCTTTCAAAATGGTGGTTCCCCGAGAACGCGGCTCTCTCGTGACCACGCTCTCGTGCCGCATGCACGCCATTTCACGAAATCGCAACAATACCCAGAGTCCCACACGCGGGCGTACCACCACGTCGCCATTTTTTTTTACTTGCGCAACATTTTCCTAGTATCAAGATACTCACGCCAGTAAATGACTTCCACGAAGAAATTTCCTCTCTCTCGCTAACGTCGCGCGTAATCGATAGGCTTACTCGCAAACGCCGCAGAAACGTTCCGATGCAGTAGGTAAAAAAAAAAAAAAAAAAATTATCAGCGAAGTGTAAAAATGGTAAGATAAGTGATATTGTTTCCTGGGAACTTGGCTGGCGTGGTGTGACGACTCTTTATCGATTACTGATTGTAAGATTAGCAACGAGTGAAAATTGCCACCGCAATACGGCATGGTAGGAATGTTTCTAATATTGCGCAAATTATACCCTACATACGCTCACTAAATATTGACTACATTTGATCACATTATTGTCGAGCCATATTATATAGGTAATAAATAATCTTAATAAATACAAAATTATTAAGATTTATCGTGAATAAATAAGAATATCAATCTTGTTTTCATGTACATTTATTAATAATTATTATAAAATTATAAAAATGCATTATACATATACATAACATTTATTAAATTCTTTCCTGTTATAATCATAAATTTTAGTTTAACTGGATTTTACGACCTATTCATATTCCGTTCTTATTTTAAAATAGCCTTAAATAATATCTTAATATGTTAATATGTTTCTGTGATTAGTTTATAGTCTGAACACTGTACTTAAGACGGTCTTAAATATAAGAACCGATTACGAATACTGGTATGATAAAATAAAATCATAAAGATAAAATCAGGTATATTAGTTATATACATTATATATTATATATAATTAAAATTGTTTCGGCCACAAGTCTATTCCTAACGAGGTGTTGAAATATCCAAATCTCGCGCGGAATAATTGACCACGACGGTAGAGAATATCGAACATGGTGGACGACAAAAATTTCGAGGGAGAGTGTTTAAGGGCTGAGGGCAATTAAACGAGATCATCCGTGACTGGCGTTCCTGCGTGACCACCCCGCAGCGAAATATTTCGCTCGCTCTCGAAACAGGTTTCCGAGAATTTTTCTTGAATTTTAATTGCGGCTTACACGTATCGTAGGTAGGCACAGGGGAATAGGGCTCGTATAGATACGCTTGCTATCGAGTGCGATCGTGATGTAATATGTACGTCGTGTGTAATGGGCGTGTCGAGATTAAACCGGACCGCCGGCGCCATTCCGGGTTCGCGCTCTAAAAAAATCATTTTTTTTCCTCCCCTCCCCCGCTGACGCACGTATCTCCGATATTTTCTCGTAACACGCGAGAACATTGCGAAATGCGTAAAAAATTTCGCGCGTAGGCTATTGATTTGCGCTCATATCTCGCACCGTGAGACGTGAAAAAATTACATCCACAGGGATGTAATCTGCATCGAAGGAAAACAGTTTCTGAAATTATCTAGTATCCGAGAAAATAATAAACAACGAGGAAAAGCTAGTAAGATTCGTGACTTACTTTTACGTTTTGGATCATGTTCGATGGCTTTGAATCTTCTCGTATAGAGTATGAAGATTATTTCGACAAGCATTGTTTTATTAATATATTTTCGTGTATTAAAAAAAATCATTAATTGCATGATGACATCCGTTCGGAATGTATAATAAAATGAATGCGTAACATTACGCAATTAATTGAGTTTTTCTTCATCTTTTCGCGATGGAAACTGCGCGGTAATCTAGAATTGGATTAATAGTCCGGCGGGTATCATTACGAAGAAATTTGCATATTATTCGATTAATTATGTAATCGCCACCATCGGAAAAAGCTCTTCCAAGGATAATCTTCCAGCTGTGATCTTAAGACTTATCCTTTTTAATCTTCATCGCGCGGGGTAAATCTGGAAGCAAATAAAATTAATCGTTGCTGATTTATATCTCGAATTTCGTAATTTATTATATCATTCTCAACGAGTAACAAATTCAATCAGACATGTTAACATCATCGTTTGCTTGGCGTGTTTCTAATAATTTAATTTCACAGATCGCCTATTCCATTTGATTATTTTCGGCGTTATTACCTTACATGAAGTTCGAATAAGCCGCCGATAAAGCTTAAGGTTTTCGACGCTGCAAGCTTCTAAAAAAGGCAACTTTGCATGATCACTGATAAAAATACAACCGTGGGCTTCCTTCGAGCTCGCGAGATTACAATCGACCGAGGTAGTCGTGACTAGCGGCACTATCATTCGAGCTTCCCGCGGAAGCCAACTAATATCACGACATTTTCAAGCAAGGTCTCACCGATATCGGTGCCGTCAGAGTCATCACGTGTATTTGCAACTTTCCAAATTTAAATTTAACAAAACTCTATGAAGTTCACGTGCCATTGTGTTATGTTAATACAGCACTTGCCATCATGTTTAAGTAGAACTATGTTATTGTTTCGTGGCTATAACTTCGTCGAATTTACATTATACCTCGTATTAACATACTTCCCTGTACATTTTGATAAGTTAAACAAGTTAAACAAGCGCTAAAAGATGAATGAGTTTAAGTAAGTCAATTAATCAATCATTTTAATTTGTTTCGCTCAACTTTATCCTTGCGTTTCTTTCGTAATTTTAAAAATTAAGATTGAGCTTTTAAGCTTAACAAAAATAAAAGTAGCTAAGCACGAATTGGATCAATAATTTTCAGTTTTATTCCTATATAAGTACATATATCTTATAATTACGCTTTTTTTTTTACAGCCAATCCTTTTTATGATACCGGCACTTCACAATCGTAATATCGATGCAAATTCTAATTCGTAGTTCTTTCTTGCTGCTACAATTAGAATGAAGCAAAGTGATCGTGACTACTGGCATTATTACTGAAAGGTCCTGTAGAAAGACTGTTAATATCTCTGGTTCTCAGGCAAGGTCTTCTCCATGTCGGTTCCTTGGAAACAATTACGCCCCGTGGGTTATAATAACGAACCGTTCCTCTAGAATCGTACGTACATATGTATACGTGCCGTGCGCACGAATACATACACATGTACATACACGCGTAGACGAGCTGTGCTTTTATCGCGAGCGTGAGCATCAAGTGCGTACTACGAAGACGGATGGCCTCGTAAATCTATTGGCAGGGCGCATTCCCTCGTTTTCGCATTTTACTTTCTTCTTTTCTAACACGGCGAGGGCCTCTAAAGCCCACTCACCTCGAGATTTATCGCCTAACGCCAAAATGCCGATGGCGAACTAAAGCGCTCTAGAAAGGCATACCATTACTATTCCATTTTCTCAACAGCTATTCGCAACGATAAAAAAATATGTACCTATTCTGTAACAAAGGGATTTATCGCAATCAACAGCAGCAAGATGTGTATATACAAAATAAATTGAAGGTATACAAATGATAAAAAAAAACGTCGATTAACAAATGTATAAATATCAAAATCTCAGAGATTAGCATAATAAGCTAGATGTAATCAACAGCAGCAAGATGTGTATATACAAAATAAATTGAAGGTATACAAATGATAAAAAAAACGTCGATTAACAAATGTATAAATATCAAAATCTCAGAGATTAGCATAATAAGCTAGAAATATTACGAAGATATCCTTGAGGCAAGAACAATGATCGAGAACGATTGTCATTGAAACGATAATGTCACTTTCATTCCGTCAACAATCGTCCAGAGTTCTTACCGCATATTGTTTGCGTGATATTAACTATGAAGGGATTACAGTATTGCAAAAGTTCTTGACATTATCAAACAAATGTATACGATACACAACGTTCTAATCGTTTTAGCAAGCCTAGAGATAATAAAGCAAAGCAGCTAATTCGTGTAAGGCTAAAGAGTTACGCAAGTTTTACGGTATTCAGTGTCTATCCACACCTTTCCAACTTGTACTATAAGCTGGAACTGTCGTGTTATTACACTCGCGTGTCATACGGTGCTCAATTGTCTCAATAATTGTGGAGCAATACAGACCGTTTCGGCTACATCGTTTGCGACATTAGTCAACCGTTCATCTTTTTCGTGCAAATTTCAGTGCCACCAAACGATGTAATTTGCCTCGTGTCGTTTTACGCTTTCCTACTTAATGTATTTTGTCATGAACACCCTAACAAACAGATCGTTGCGCGACGATGATGTATTATTGGCGTAATAATGTGGGCCAGCTGTCAAAAGTAACGAACGCGCATCTTCTGCCCCTTCGAGAATGATGAAATTGATAGAATTGCGTTCCTGTGATGGTATACCTTGTCGTATGACATGTGTGGAGCGTGCACGGCATCGCATGTTGGCGACAATTTTCGGAAAACGCCATAAGTAGGACCCTTCTCGTAGTTCCTCGCCACCCTGAATATGAGATAATCGTGCAAATGTTCATCAGAGCTGCATCTGACGAAGTCATTGTTAGAAAGAAGTGAAAAATAGATTTGAAATATTCAAACTATAATAGCTTTTCTTAATATAATTTTAAGAAAATATGTAAATATGTATATTAATATTGTAAGTACTGCACTGTTAGAAATGTTCTTAAATTTCATTAACTTTTAAGTTACATAATTGAATTTAATTTGAATTTAATTTCATGACATTACATTAAATTTAATGTATTTGTAACTAAAAAGTATATTTATGTACATGTACATAAAATTTAATGTATTTTTCATGAAAATTTATGAAATTTAATGTACACGTTCATTACATTTAGATAACTACTGTAACTTAATTTTCAGTTAAATCATTCATTACTTTTAATTTCATTCATAACCACCAAATACACGTTCATTACATTTAGGTAACTTAATTTTCAGTTAAATCATTCATTACTTTTAATTTCATTCATAACCACCAGCTTCATTTACATATAAAGGAAGCTCGTGGTTACATTTCTAACAGTTGTACATTATTTATTATTAATACTTTATTAATTATGTCTTTCGCGATCATTTAATCTACGTCAAAAACAACGAAACATTTTAGGAAATTGATCACGTTCAACAGAACGTTTATTTTACAAATGTTCAAAGTTTTCTTCGTGTTGATTGGATTATACTTTTAGATAGGAACAGTCCTAATCTCAGCAAAGAAAAACTCAACAGTTGTAAAATAAATTTTGCTAAACACAGTTACAGCAATATGTTGTTAATGATCTTAATTTTGATTTATATTGATTCCTTTTTATTTAACACACATACTGTATAATAAAATCATCTCAGTTCTCTCGCTATTTTGCTTTTCTACGGCTCACTTATAGGACCCAGACACATTCTTGTCCATCGCGTTTCGACCCCCATATTTTCACGAACACGCACTCCGTAGAATCTTCACGTCGATGCTGTCGACGGTGGAAAGATAAATCCTCCCTCTCGCTTCTCGGTTCGCTTTCTCAAGCTGACACTAGCGAATTAACAGATCGCACAGTGGCAATTAAACCCCCCAAAAGGATTCGAACACTCCACGGCACGACGGTTCCCATGGTTCCTCTATAGTGTCCGCGTGCGGGAAGAGAACGGCGGGCGATAATAAAAGAACACGAACGAGATGCTCGCGAGGGGGATGAGGCACGAGTATCGTCGACAACCCCAGCGCGGCGTGATGCACATGAGAAAGATCCCCTGCGTTGCGGCGGGGTCGTGAGACCGTTGTAAAAAAAAGAAGTGAAAACTAAGAGAGGAAGAAACGACGGAGGACCTGGCGAAGATGCTACGTCGGTGCGCAGAGGGCAATATTTACGAGAGGGGTTGGGTTCAGCCATGGAACGTAATTGCACCGGCTGGGGTACCCTGATTTATTGGGTTATTACCGATCTCGGCGCAAGAAGAACGCGTGGTGTATGGGCATCTTCGCCCCCGCGCCCTGGTCCTTCGAGACCTTACAAAATGGCGGGAAAGAATATTGTTGAAACGTATATGTGCGTATTCTACGAACGTATAGTCACAATGGCGACATAAAAAAATTGATGGAAGCTAGCTTAAAAATTTACAAAAGAGATTCCTACAAAAAAGTTATAACCTTTCTTCAAAGAGTTGGATATATGTGACCATATAAATTTGATGTTACCAGAGTAAAAATGTTAAGAGACTAATAAACTACATTTCGATGTGCAAATAAAAATCATAGCAAGAAGAAACCTAAAAGTTGACATGTGGTATTTATATCTTCATAGTGCAGGTCTTTGAAGTGTTGGGTACACACGACTATATAAATTTCATTTTATTAAAGGAAAAGATTTTATCAAAGATATAATATCTCGATAGATAAAAGTCAATAAAAAGAGGCACCAATTGACACTATGCTGCTTATATCTTTATAACTTGTAACACAGCGACAGTTATTACACTAAGTGATCAAAATTACAGGGCCATTAAATCACAATGTGACATTTATTACTTTCATGTAATACCATATCATTTAACTGCCAATAGTGTTCTTCCTCGATAATGCGCTATGTGTTTTTCATGTTTAGTTAATCGGCCTCTAGTTAGTTAAACTGTATAATAACGATGGTCGTTGGATTGCAAATAAAATATAGCAATGTGACGACAAGTCGCTATGTCTGTATGCGAATATGAAATGTAACAGATGTAAATATAATCGTATTTCTCACATGTAACATAAATTATTGATTTTAAGCACCTTTAAATTCATAATGTCAAATTATACTCAACTTGAGTTATTTTTAATAATTTCTGTAGGTGGTCACTGCTCCTATTCTCAATATGTCTTTAATTTTAATTAACTAGAACAATGAGATAAAACAGTTTAACTTAAAAAATGTATTTAATTTAACTTAAAGTTTGGTTTATTATTTACCAAGTGCATATATATTAATATGAACGTCCGTTTACTAAGCAATTCAACTACAGAAATGGATCGATTTACATTTTGACACACATGGAAGTTAAATATAACAAAATGTTATTTAACTTAAGAAATTGGGTTACTATTGCTCTTTTGTAGTATATATCTAACAGTAGATAACTTAGACAGATAATCAATAATCATTAATTTTTTTTTTCTTCATGTTTCATGTGTTGATGTATTGAACAATAATAACGAGTTACAAGCCAAAGGCTTTCTTTGGTATGCCTATTCCATCACCTCGAAAGGACTGGATCGACGTATAAAAGAATGGAACAAAGTGCAGTGCTTTACGTCTACCTAACATCAAATCTCGCATTGCAGCGCGTACGCCTTCACTTTTACGCGTGGCAAATAAAACCAAGAGCCAGTCGACATCAAAATTATACGTATAGATGGCATTGATATATGGCCGAGCGGGTTTTGATAGACCCGACGGCCCTCGCGGCCGAGTTATAATCGCGCCGCGCATCGCATCGTTTTCTCGCCGAGCCGGAATCCTCCATTTTGAAACGCGCCGTGGTAATGTTAATGCCCGATGTTCGTATACTGCAGAAAGGATCAGCGGGATCATTGGATTTCAACTCCTTCTCAAATCATAATTATTATTTCCTATGAATATATAATATTGCGCGTACGTTGTGTTCTTTAATTGCATATTTTTTAACATTGAATTTATTCACTTTGCCTTATTTAAGCTCAACTTATATGTTGTATGAAACACTTGTTTAGTGTATAAGAATAGTTTAATAATACATTGCATACAATTAACGTACGAATTTTTGCATTTATTATTTTACTTACTATTTAGCATAAGAATTATGTATTAATATCGACACTAAACCATATTTAATTCTATAACACCGTATCTGCATTCGAATCTCTATCATGTGATCCACAAAGTATTAAAATACGACGTTATGCTTCGCGTGCCGCAAAACGATAGCCGTAAATATATAATTAATTGAGTGCTAGTTAATTACTTTCCTGGGATCGTAATAAACAAAGACTGTCGTCCAATTTGCTAATAGGCGTTCTTATAGATTTCCGTTTAATCGTCGAAAACATTCTCACACATGTTTTACATATGCAAGTAAACATGATTTCATCCGATTCATATTGTTAGCTTTATTTCGAGTTGTAATTAGTATTACTGGTTATCCGAGTTATAACTAGTTGAACTTAAATAATTATATATTAAAGTCAAAGTCTTAACTTTAGTAACTATATACATTGACTACAACAGACTGCAATAAGTGTGTACATTTACTGACTTAATACTTCGACTATGAGATAATACGCGTAAATACAAGTAAATCTGTTAGAACATTTTAATCCATAATGTAAGAAACGATTTGTTTAAGGCGTCGATTCACGAATTCCAAAACGAAGTTTGGCTTTTTGCCCAGCACGACCTCGAGTCGGGAATGGGTAGAAGCAACCTCGGCCTCAGGATATAAATCTTTCGCCGACAGATGCACCGCCCTCGACGTTCTGCATCGACCAACCAACCGACCAGAATTTCTGAGGGTAACGCCCTGAAAAACCAGACTCGCCTTGGATACCTATTGCATTTGCATGTCATTTCGAAGAAAACTATACCCTGTGAGTAAAACTAAGAGTAAAAACAAGAAATGCAATAAAATTGCCCGATGTATAGCCTTTAGTCACTTTTTCTCAATAAAGCTATTATTTTACATATGTTATACGTATCTATGCACACATTTGATTTAATATCTCATGACATTTGATTTAATATCTCTATTCTTTAACGAATGTAGTATCGAAATTTATTCTTTATTACAAAATAGGTAAAATTTTCATTTACATTTATAACAATTCTATTAACCCTTCGATGCTACACTTTACGTTTCAAAAAGCAAGAAATGTTTTAAAACATTCCAGCAACGATGCAGCAACGTTACACCGCAGCAACGTTAAATTCGCTTTTGATATTTTATCACGTGAATATTGTATAAAAAGTATTGTGTAAAAATATACATAAAAATGAGCATATTGTAACCAATTTTTCTTTAAATATTAATGAATATAACGGTAACAATGCAAATATATGTATCTTTATAAAAATCTTGATAAAAATGTAAAGCATATAAAGTAAGGAAACTTTTGATATACCGTATGAGAGTGTCACCGAAGGGTTAAGGTAAAATTCGATAAAAAATTGAAGATGCATCTTGTGTATCCAACCGTGCAGAGGAACCGCGATGCAATGCTTCTGTAAAGAACGCAATAAAGTGCCACGATAGTAAATAATTGGTAAACAATTCCGCGATGCGGCGAGTTTTTTTTCTACGAATTTTTGATGAAATTAATAAAATAAACGTGGATATGAGAGGAAGTTAACCTCAGGAACAACACGTGTCGCGTGATTCGTGAATTCCCCGCGGTTGGTTTCTAGCTTTTGTTGTACATACTTGCATTCGTGACGATTCGCGCCGTCGGCGAGTACGTAGCATGCGTTCCTGTAC